TATATAATGTTTAAAGAGGATTTTTCATCTATTGTAATTAAAAATAAATATGGTTATTTCATCATATATGCAATTCTATTAAATGAAAAAGGGATAAATAAACAATACAATAAACTGAGCTATTGCATAATAAAAAAAAATAGGGAACTAATAAAAAAGTCAAAATATGTAATGAATAATCAAATAAAGAAAAAAAGCTTCCATTAACCAACAAATACAACTAAGCAAACCAATGAGGGCAGATTATTCTGTTTCTAACCCTAAGTGGTAGGATTTATTTACAGACTTGGGCACTCATGCAGTATTATTTAACAGCCCTAGGAAGAGGCCGGCAATGATATTTTCTATGTCTAGAAAAAAAAAAAAAAGTGCTTGAACTTTTTTAAAGTTGTGACAGGACATATGAGGTATATGCCTAGCATTTTTAACCCAATGCCATCGGGGAAAATGAATAAAAAATGGAGAAAATGCTGTGCTTATTTTCTATATTCTTTGTGGAATGTGTCTGCACATAGATGGCTCTGCTAGTGCTTAGCCACAAAGGAGTCAATTAGTAGATCTTGTAACCTTACCTGATTTGAATTGGCAGGAAAAACATTTTTTACTAGTGCTATCAATATCGATGGTATTATTTTTATTATAAACATTATAATTACTGTAATGTTATAAACATTAGTAACAGCAAAATAGGATAACATAAAATATTTCCATAAATCAAAGAAAAGGGTAAATGGGAGAGACAGGCAGTACTTGTAAGTGGCTCATGGGTGACTTAGTACATCTGTAGCCATCTATGTGTAAAAACAATCAAACTAGTGACTCACAGTGGGCATAGCACGTACATATATATCATGTCCGTCAGCATTGGGTTAATATGGTTATACATTTACAACTACACCAGTGTGCTATGGTGTAACAATGGCATCTGGTTCATCAGAAAGAGGAAAAAATAAGAAAGAATTCACACATACTTTGCTTCTTTTGTATTTGAAGCTGATGTAGAACATATATATAAAAATGAGAGATTATATTAATAGTACTCACTATCTTTTATTATTTGACCTTTATATGATAGGCCACAAACCACCCAACTGTACACTCGGCACAGAATGTACAGAAAGATCATTTTTCTGTAGATAACACAACAGCACTAGTCTTACAGCCAATACTTGTTGTCTTCAACTACCTTTGTAGACAAAGAATGCCTTAAGTGGTGGTCACCCTGTTGCAATGTGGCAAGAGCTGTCAACAATATCCACACTGAAATCACATAGGTGTTGTCCCTCTAGCTCTTTGTAAACACAATGGGCATTTATTTCTGCCATATCCAGTAGGGAAGTATGCAGCCAGCTGATCACTAAGGTACACTCCCTTCATCCTTTCCTGGTAGTCCAGGATGGCCTGCAGCTTGATAATGTGGTGTTCCATCTTGTGGACTCATCCCATATCCTTGATCTCATTGGTATAAACTGTGGAAAGGATGTTGATGGACTTTTTGTACACCCACTATTGTACTTCAGTACTGCAGATGCACGACCCTGCAACCTGAGGTTCTGCATACTTCCCAGGATTGGTCACACCAGGTCCACAGTCATGTCCTCACTCATTGGACAGCAGGCTCCCCTAGTTCCCTACGTGCTTACACAGAACATGTGTACTTAAGCCACAGAATCCAGAACCGAGATCAACATTCCCTAATCCTCCAGAAGACCAACACAACAGCAGCAGCAATACAAGGCCTGCCCAGTCCTTGGCAGACTGGGGAGCCTGTCAGCTTCCCCATTGATCTCCATTTCACCTTCAGCATCTGACCATACCAGTGGGCACTCACACCCACGCAATCACTCAATAGAGAGATAGAGACCAGTTCAAGTGGTAGCTGCAATACCACGCTGCATCTTGGACTCTGAAATCCTTCACCATATACTTGCAGAACATCCTCATAGTGCCAATGGAGTTTTTGTGGTGGAACTGAGGATGGGGAAGAGGCTCCTAGTTATCAAAAGATAACTCGTACCCCTTCCTAAATAGTCCTGCTGCCTCAGTCAATTTAACAAATGTTTTCTATGATGCAATCATGTCAGACATAGCTTGGTCTGAGGGCAAAGGTGTATCTGGCAGTAGGTCCAGTGCTGACACAAAATTTGTACACCTTCAAGTCACACTTTGCCCTCTTACTTGGGTTTAAAGTAATATACTGTAGTTGTTCTCTGAACTTCCAAAAACCTCTCATGAACTGTCATTTTATGGTAGGGTATGAAGGCTGTCTGGAACTGCTCATTTAGGTTGCCAATTACTCCGCCCAACTTCCACAACCAATCCGCTAGTGAAAAGCATCACTGTCACAGAAGTGGAGGTAGGCCAACATGTGATGAAAGCAGTCCTTTTGCATGGTGTCAGGAAAAGCAGGAGTCACTAACAATGAATTGGAAAAGCAATTCTGCCCAGGTTTATTTCCTCCACAATGATGTGAATACTGGAAAGCCCTAGAGGCAGACAAGGGCTCACCATAATTTGTTGAATCATGCCATGGCTCACTGACAAATTCAAAGTAATTCTCACTGCTGCTACTTCCATTACTGTCTTCCCTTTCAGCACACATCTGAGGCACAATGTAATCCCCAGAATCAACCTCACCAGTCAAGAGATACCACAGATGCAGTAGCTCCTCCATCTCATAGAAAATGGCTGAAGCTCTGGCTGTGGATTGCTGCTACTCCTAGCTTGGCAGCAAGTAGCTTGGCAGCAAGTAGCTTTGCAGAAAGTGTACACGATCAGGTAGCTATTAAAGAAAAGCTAGTGATAATGATCATTAGATCAAGTGCTGCCCCCACAAAGGCCATGTGACCATGAGGCAATGTGGACTGACCTGCCTTACAGAGATAATAATTAGTATATTTTTTCAATGAAAGTGATCAACCTTCCAACTGCAATAACACCTATAAGTAATTTTTGCAACTAAAGTGAATTAGTCTCTTTTATACGAATAGCTTCTACACACTTCTTCTGACATGTCTACACACCATCTGCATGCAATCCCTTCATGTATCTGTGGGGAATGGGTTAATTAAATACACACAGACTAATGTGCTTGACCAGAGATGCCTACCAATCTGATTGAAATAGCGCTCTAGGTTATCACAGTCAAGCTTTGTGCGGCAGAAGATCAGAGCCTTGTCCATCTTGTGGGTGTCGATGGCTTTGAGACAGTATTCTCCCTTCAGCATCTTCACGGCTTCACTCAGGGTTTCTGCCCAAGGAAGAGAGACGGCAGTTAATAAACACTGATCCTTGTGTTACTAGTCATTGAATTACACAACTAATAACTGAATCACATCACCAGTCAGTCAATCTAAAAGTTTAATAATCGGTACAACTTTACTTGAGAATATACAATTAAAAATCAATTTCCTCCCCTTCCTCACACACACACACATACCTGGTGTATTGTTTCCTGGCCTCACATTGTCCTTCTGGTGCACTCCGTCCGTGGGGATGTGGCGTCGCAAGGTGGTCCAGTTGGTGTCGGCACGCGGGTCAACCGTAACAACAACGTGGTGGACAGTCTCAGGAACAGCATCTTCTCCCTTAAGGTCAACCCATGTTGGGAAGTGCATCAGGCGTTCCTTGGAGGGGAGACAAGGAGACACATCATGGTCTGATATTATGCACAATGAATTTGCTTGCTCTTTATTCCACAAACCTGAGAATCTGACTATTTGAAGCAAAGGCATTTTAAAGGACATGTCAACTTTTCTTCATATATATTGAAATATATTATATAACAATCTATTCAGAGCAATAATCTTCAAATGTCTTTCATAACTGATTACATACAACTTGCTTAAATTCATTTCAGTGAGACATGATTGTTTGTATGTGACAAGAATTTACATGCATATATATATATATATATATATATATATATATATATATATATATATATATATATATATATATATATATATATATATATATATATATATATATATATATATATATATATATATATATATATATATATATATATATATATATATATATATATATATATATATATATATATATATATATATATATATATATATATATATATATATATATATATATATATATATATATATATATATATATATATATATATATATATATATATATATATATATATATATATATATATATATATATATATATATATATATATATATATATATATATATATATATATATATATATATATATATATATATATATATATATATATATATATATATATATATATATATATATATATATATATATATATATATATATATATATATATATATATATATATATATATATATATATATATATATATATATATATATATATATATATATATATATATATATATATATATATATATATATATATATATATATATATATATATATATATATATATATATATATATATATATATATATATATATATATATATATATATATATATATATATATATATATATATATATATATATATATATATATATATATATATATATATATATATATATATATATATATATATATATATATATATATATATATATATATATATATATATATATATATATATATATATATATATATATATATATATATATATATATATATATATATATATATATATATATATATATATATATATATATATATATATATATATATATATATATATATATATATATATATATATATATATATATATATATATATATATATATATATATATATATATATATATATATATATATATATATATATATATATATATATATATATATATATATATATATATATATATATATATATATATATACAGGTATTCCCTTCAGCATCTTCAGGCTCCAGGTTTCTGCCCAAGGAAGAGAGACGGCAGTTAATAAACACTGATCCTTGTGTTACTAGTCATCGAATTCCACTACTAATGACTGAATCACATCACCAGTCAGTAAATCTAAAAGTTTAATAATCGGTACAACTTTACTTGCGAATATACAATTAAAAAACAATTTCCTCCCCTTCCTCACACACACACACACATACCTGGTGTATTGTTTCCTGGCCTCACATTGTCCTTTTGGTGCACTCCGTCCGTGGGGATGTGGCGTCGCAAGGTGGTCCAGTTGGTGTCGGCACGCGGGTCAACCGTAACAACAACGTGGTGGACAGTCTCAGGAACAGCATCTTCTCCCTTAAGGTCAACCCATGTTGGGAAGTGCATCAGGCGTTCCTTGGAGGGGAGACAAGGAGACACATCATGGTCTGATATTATGCACAATGAATTTGCTTCCTCTTTATTCCACAAACCTGAGAATCTGACTATTTGAAGCAAAGGCATTTTAAAGGACATGTCAACTTTTCTTCATATATATTGAAATATATTATATAACAATCTATTCAGAGCAATAATCTTCAAATGTCTTTCATAACTGATTACATACAACTTGCTTAAATTCATTTCAGTGAGACATGATTGTTTGTATGTGACAAGAATTTACATGCATATATATATATATAGAGAGAGAGAGATCCTCTGATACACTAACATCACTTATGAAACAAACAAGCTCTACATAATGACTGAAGGATCATATACTGAAAATAAAACACAAAACACTTATAGTACAGCTAAAGAAATGCAGTATGACAGAAGTGTCATTTTACAATTAATCCCTTGGACCTACGTGACATGGCTGGCCTGGGGTGACAGGAACATGCCATCATGAGAACTTCAAATGAAGGCCAGGGTGATGGGAATGACTTGCCACAAGTGCACAAAGCTCTTGGAGGGTGATTAGACTCAGTAGGCTTTTAAGGAGGGGACCCTTGTATCATTTAGAGTGGTAAATGAGTGTGGAATGTACCATCCGTGAGCCATGACTGGAAAAGTGCCAGCCCCAGGGAGGACATTGTTTCCAAGCTCAGGATCCTATTCCTGCCCAACATGACACATGGCACAATGTGTACCACAGAAAATTGAACATTACAAAAATATCTTGATACAAATAACAAATGTTGCTAATTGTTATTGTTACTGCACAGAGCTACAGACTAATTTGAGAGATGATGTAGAGTCTGTGCAAGGAAAACATTCCATTACCATCTTGATACATAATATCAAAATGGCATATAGAGATCTTGGAAAATGGCAAAAAGGCATAAAATGCTTATATAGAATAAGAGATTATAACATTGCAATGATGAAGCACTTCATACCTCCCCTTTTCAATACCATTTTCTCCTCCTATATATGTCATTTGATTTCCTTTCTTCTGATGGTAATAGTCATGGCTAATGGATCCTATATTCCACATTCATTTACTGATGGAAATAATGGAAAAGCCCATCTTAAATGCCAAATGAGTCTAATCAGATTTTCTTGCAAAACTGTTATACACATTAATGTATAATTTTCACCACTGGCATTACTTTGCAGTCACACGGATCTTTTGACAAACAGTCAAAGCAGCATTTCTTCAATCATATACCTTTTAAAACAGAATTCTTAACACAGTAGTTACTTACAGCCATGCGCTTGACCTCAAAGGAATGCAGTGTAGCAGAACAGACAATCATCTGGAGCCTCTTGCCATCAGATGTGATCTTAGGGATGGCACTGTGGATGTTATTAACGAGGCGTTCATGTCCCTGAAAATGGAAATGTAATGTAAAATTGATAATACTACAAAATGTGATGAAAATTTATTTGTAATATATTTCTAAACAAGACCAAATTTTTACACCAAAAGGCAAACAATCCCTGGACCTTTCTTTTAGCTTTAAAAAAATTGGTCTAAACTGATAATTTTTGTGTAATATATATTATCAAACTTTTTTTCAGAAAACAAAATTAGTAATTAATTTATTTAAATTTTTGTTTTGTGGGAACCAAGTTTTCAGCTAGAAGCTAAATTAACTTTTTTACAGGCTTTTCTTCATTTCCCTTTGAAAATTACTTTATGATACTAATGTGTCTTTATACATTTTATATCCTTTTACCCTTTCCTGATGGGTACATACACAAACATACCACAGCATGACTGGACTCCTTTTCAGGTGGTATGTTTAATGAATTACCACACCATGTACATCGAGCCAGCTCTAAATAGTTTTTCACTTGTTTGGCTGTTACAGTAATGATTTTGGAAGTACAGCCCTTCAAGTAGTGATTTATGAACTAAAGCTCCTCAAAAACAGACTGATTGCACATTGTGCCTTGTGTATGGTTTAGTTTGACACACAAAGCTCCCATCAGCACTGGGTTAATACCAGTGCATTAAAAACTTTCCTCGCAACTGGTTCCCCCTTCCAAGGATATAAGTTATATGCAGGTGCAGGCTTGTATATGCTAACTCCTTCATTATTGGTACATCTGATTGCAAACCCTGTGCTTATTGAAAATCAAAGTAAGGGAAAGGTTTTAACCAATGAAGATTTTATAAAGTGCAAGTATAGTGATCTATGCAAAAGACAGGTTTAGTCCCTCATTGTAAGTGACAACTTGGGTTCCACACTCACATTCTAGATTCACTAGACTACATTGATAAGTCAGTTTTCATTACAACTGACATTATCCACATGTGGTTGTGTACAACGAGAATCTAAATTACTTTCATGGAAATATCCTATTCAGAAATTCTCAAACAAAGCCATCTTATTAGGGCTGTTTCTTTATGTATGAAATAATAACACCATAGAATATTTTATGTGGACTTCTAACTACCCTCCCAGGTATCACACAAAAGAGGGAGTATATATATTTGATTTTACTTTAAAGCATTAAAAGCTTGCTACCGAATAGCTTATAGCTAAAGAGTGACTTACTTGCATTCCACTGATGTTCCGTTAGAGTGAATTTTCACCATCATGCATGGGTGTGTAACTAATTAGGTGCAATATGAATGTATGCATGTATATGTATGAATGTGTGTGTTTGTGTTTATGTGGTTATGTATGAAATAATAACACCATAGAATATTTTATGTGGACTTCTAACTACCCTCCCAGGTATCACACACAAGAGGAGTATATATATTTGATTTTACTTTTAAAGCATTAAAAGCTTGCTACCGAATAGCTTATAGCTAAAGAGTGACTTACTTGCATTCCACTGATGTTCCGTTAGAGTGAATTTTCACCATCATGCATGGGTGTGTAACTAATTAGGTGCAATATGAATGTATGCATGTATATGTATGAATGTGTGTGTTTGTGTTTATGTTTATGTTTATGTTTATATTTATGTTTGTTTTCTGATGAAATTACTTGGTAATTTCTATTACAACAAAATATCCATGCGTTATACACAAGTCCAATAAAACACAATCATTCTAAAATGCCAACTAGTTATCAATGGTTCCAAAATGCCTGTGCCCTAAAAGATTCCCATTTTCCTTCAATGGTGAATCCGTGAATGCTTTGCCAAAAGTTGCTATTGGTCACCAGGTTTGACAATAATGAAGAAAGAAAAAAGCAATCAGTGGAACATTTGAGGTAGTTTGTTGAAACAAGAAATTTCCAGATATTTCTTTGAATGTGTTTCATCACTGCCTTCAAAACTATTACTATAAGACAAATAAAAAACAGATGCAATTATTATCATTTTTCTCCTCACTTTCTCAAACACACAGGCTTGTCAGATGGAATTACTTGCTTTGAAGTTAAAGTCTCATCAACTCGGACTCAAAAGCAGTTACTAAGTTTGGAATTGAAGTTAGGAGAAATAACCAATTTTGAAGTCCAATAATTAATCCTGAGCAATGATTAGGTATGAAATAAGAGTCAGCAGAAATGTACTGACAATAACTACAAATGACATGTAAACTGAAACATGTTAGAACTTTCAAATTCACAAACTTTTATCCAACTGATCAATGTCTGATGTCTGTGAATACCCTCTCATGTAATGTATTTCTTTTCAAGAATACATTACCCTCCTAGCCATTCTGTGACAACTAACAGATAAAACAATAAAAAAGAAAGCAAAATCAAACTGTGAAAAAAAGATAAAAGCAATAAAACCACACCTGTTTCAGTAGACCATCTGCTTCATCAAGTACAAAAAACTTGCACGACTGTAGTGAGAGCTGCCCTGTGTTGATGAGGTCCTCCAAGCGACCAGGAGTGCCACACACAATGTCGATCCCTGAGTTGAGAGCTGCAATCTGGTCCTTCACTGGAATGCCACCTACCACCAGCAAGTCACGTACTACAGGATTGTCCAAGTGTTTGTGGAACATTTTGAGTTGCGTCAAGGTCTGCTCAGCTAGCTCCCGAGAGGGCTGTTGGGGGAAGCGAGATAGGAAAACTTCAGAAGAAAAATCCTATCCATCTATTCATCTACCCATTCTGTACTGTGTTCATACATAAATATTAAGTTATCATTTCTATATCTATATTTGTACCTACACAGGTAAAGTAGATAGATAAGCACATAGATATTGACATACAGGTAGTCCTGAGCTTTGGTAGAGTTCTTTTCCTGAATCCATAGAGTAAGATGAAATAACATAAGACAATTACTCCTATAAGGTATAACTAAAAAAAATAGGTTGTGTACCTTAAAATCCAACCCCTACTTCATGACTCACAAATACATGAAAATAATTGAATTTGGTAAAATAAAAACTCTTCATGGAAAATATTAACCTAAGTAAATTATCATACACAATAATACTAGAACAGCTTGGTGACTGACAATGGAGCAGAGCATGGGTGGCTGTTCATGGAAAAACCCAACTGATATAGCCAGGGGAGCTAATCCCTTCTCCCTCTTCCAATACCACTCAGCAAAATGAGCTATAGATCCATTGTTGCTTGTTTGCCATTTCACCTCTTTTCCTTGTTTAGCAAAACCATTCTCTGACCTCATAGCCATCTCATTCATGAGACACTCGTCATTGTTAGGCCAAGCTGTGCTTTTTCATTTCCTTCTTTGTTAAGTGATTTCACTTTCTGATATATTGCCATAAGGCTCACTAAAAGGTTGCAGTGTTTCTGATTTTCAATCCATATAAATACAAAAATTTTCCTTTCAAGCACAAAGCTCTGAGAATAACTTGCATGGAGTCTGCCTTCATCATTATTTGATGTTTTTCTGGGAGCCATTTCTGAGGTTGATATTTCTTATGAGCAAAAACATCAACTCACAGGTGCAAAACAGCCCTATAATAAGTATTGCACTGGAGGGAGAAGATGGGAGTGGCATGAGGCGCACTTGATATTCTGAGAGCAGTCCATCAATGCAGCATAAATTAGCTCAAAAATACCATTATTTTGAATCATCTGTTATGCAAAAAAGTGAGCCATAAAAAAGATCCCTTTAAAGTAAAATATCACAAACAGAAGCACCATGCAACAAGGATTGCCCTGAAGAACAATCCTTCTAATCTATTGAAAACTAAGATCCTTGTCTTTAACCAAAAAGTGAAATAACCATGAATGAACAAAACACCTCACCTCAATAATGATGGCTTGTGGGGCGTTGTTCTCAACCTTCTGCGGCTTGTCTCCGCCCCTGACACCCGAGGTTACTGTGCAGTCCTTAGGAGCCTGACAGATGGCCATAAAGCCCCCCTTAGGAGGAAACTTGAATTCTGTTGCCCCAAAGTTGAAGGACATCTCTGCATTCTGTCAAACCATACAAAAATCATAAGTTATCTATCTTAGAGTTACATTAATATGTTTATTCATTCTTGTATCTTTTCTTCTACATTTGATATGATTCACAGCTCTAGTTCACAACCTTATCAAGCTTCTAACTTTCTGGCACTACCTTCAGGTATTCTGGGCATAATTTCTAGCAGGCCATAAGGTACACCAGTACTTATAAGAATACAAAATGAGTCTATCTTGACAGTATTCATACATGCAAATTTTCCATTTGAAAACCCATAATTGTACACTTATTTTTCATTATATATATAGTAGAGCATTTATATTATAATTGTGTTTGTGTTTGTCTGTTTGTTCATTATGCTTGGTATCACTCTCCAATAATATATTACACATGACTAGAGACTTGCTGCATTCCAAAACACATTACATGTGACTGACAAGTGAAATCATGTTTCAAAACTATATTTCATATGACTGAAAGTTCAAATCCCTTCATTTTGAATGGGTGATACAATTAAAAAATAAACACTAAAAAATCTCACTGGAACTCACTCACACTCCCGTTCACAAACAAAAATGGTATCATATTATTCCTCAATCAGAATTATATATAACAATTCTGCTTGTTTTATCCAATCATTCACAAGCTCCAACCTGACAGTCATATGAGTGCAAGGGAAGTATACACTGCTTTGATGTGGTTAAAGATTCAGTTTGTGTATATATTGTTTATGTAATTATTCAAGGAGGTAGGTTAAGAGGGGAAGGGGAAACAGAGGACTTACAGAGGAAAAGGGAATGGGTAAGGGCAAAGAGAGTGGGACAGGGGACAGGGCTCAGTAAGAAAAGGGAGGGAGGGTGATTAACCCCTTAGATCCAGGTGATGTGACCATAATGTCATGAAAAAATCTGAGTCGAGGGGTAGGTGATGTGAAAATACCGTCACAGGACAATCTGGCTGTAGGCCAGGTGACGCAAACCTGCCGTCGTGAACATTGCGGCTGAGTGCTGGTTGATGGAAAAGACTCACCTCGAGTGTAAAAACCTATCGGGAGGTTTATTTTACTTATATGGCGATTTTGTATTATTCCCATCGATGTATGAGTGGAATATAATTTTCATGAGTGGTGACTGGAAGATCACCAGCTCCATGGAGGACGCCATTTCTATATTTCTGGTGCCATGAGTGGCTACAGAGGTTATATAACAGAAAATTAAACATTACTTAAAGAAAAAATTAAATGACACTAATAGCATAGTTTTACATAGTCTTATTTTTCTTGCACTGAGTTGTAGCCTACCTAGAGAGATAACTGGAGGAGGCATAGAATCTTGCCAATGCATGTTATAAATATACTGTAGCAAATTGGGTAGCACATTTCAGAAAAGCTTATGTTGGCAAATAATGAAGGAAAAATATTTGTTCTTTTAGTTGAAATTAAGGTACCGCTAAAGTTGTATAGGTTAAAATTTTGATTTTTATCCTCAAAATCACTATACAAGCGTGCAACCCACCAATGCACTATCAGCCTATACAACAGGCTATGGATGGGTTCTTATGCTTTAAACGGAGCTATCTTTGCTCTGTAAAATAATCACAGAATCTCAGGTGCATTATCTGCACAATCTTCGCCACATCTCCCTTTTCTCAAGTTTCTCAAGAGGACAAGAAGTAAATAAACGATATATATAAGAGAAATATCCCAAAAACCTTCACAGCATGAGGAAATGAAAACGAGACTGACTCACCAACGCCAGCCACTTGCTACTTCACCCGCCACCACCGCCTCGCTCAAAATGGAGTCAAATCCCAGTGAACATGGAAGAACACTTTCAGAAAGTAAAGATTGGAAGAAAAAAAGAGATACAGAAGGAAGAAGGAAGAAAAGGATCTGCAGAAAATCAAAAAGAACGAGACCATGAAAAGTAGATGGAGGAGGAGGGGACACATGTTCCAGGGGAAAATGACCTGCCCTAAGCAGAAATTGGTGGGGACATGTTATGGAAGGCGGGGAAGGTGCTGACTGCTGGCTAGATAAAAAAAAAAACCTTTCCAATGAAGTAACGTTTCTGAAGATCCCAGCTATTCGGTTAATGAAATTTACCGGAAAAGGCACAATAAAGCATTATGCACGCTTCTACCCTATAAAGAGTATTAAATATTTAGTTAATTTAATGTTGTTTTTTTTGAGGATTATGAACATATAATGGCAAGTACAAATAAGCTAATAACTGAAAATGGGGAAATATAAATTGGGAGACAATATAAAACATTAAATTGTGATCTCAAAATTTCCATTCTCGCTTTAAAAACTTTGTCTAGAGTACAAAATACAACAAATCTCCTTTCTTTCATTTGCTGGATGGGATGATCTACAGGTTTTTTCTATAATAATTGATCATGAAATGACAAGCACTGGTATCATTTAAAAATAAATAGATAAATAAAACTGTGGCTGTGCAATGATTCACATAAAGTTAGCAAAAAGTCATGACAGTGCATGACATCAAGTTTTTAACAAAAAATTCAGAATTAAGTTCAGTCATTACTAAACATAACCCATGAATATGACATCATAGCTACATAAAGGTGTTTCATAATTATATCTTAAATGCCCACCATCATCAGCACATCAGCAATACCGCAAGGATCCAAGCATAAAAGAAAATAAAGAGATAAATAAATAAACAAACACAAAAAATAAAATAAAATAAAGCTTATAAACTACCAAACCAAATACCTACAAACCAGCACACACCAACACAAAGCATAAGCCAAGAACAACAAATGAAATCCCAAGGCCGCATCCCTAACCCACTCCACTCACCTTGAGCACAACAGCCGGGAGGAAGGTGGCGTTCTTGAACTCGCTACGCAGGGTGAAGGCCTTGCCCAGGTCCGTCCCATTCTTACTGTAGCGAATCTCCATGGCATCGAGGTCCAAATAGCAGCCGATCACGTCTTTCAAACCAAAGGGTTCTCCGAAGTCGTCGAACTGTCGGCAGTTGGACTTCTTGCCTGTTCCACCAAAGCCAAACCCTGCCTTGCACGTGCCCAAGTCTAGGGCAGCCTGGAGAGTAAGAATGAATTACCATGACAAATTATAATAAAAATTGTGTTGTAGTTATCGATAATAATGATGATAATAAAATAACAACAGCAGTAAAAGTAAACTGAGAATAACAACAACAATAATAATAATAATAATAATAATAATAATAATAATAATAATAATAATAATACAAGTAACAATAATAATAACAACAACAATAACCATTTTTAGATCTTATTTTTCTAACTCTGTTAACTCAATGCTGCCGGGAAAATGCTGTGCTCATATTTGTTTGTTTGTTTGTTTGTGTGTGTGTATGTGTGTGTGTGTGTGTGTGTGTGTGTGTGTGTGTGTGTGTGTGTGTGTGTGTGTGTGTGTGTGTGTGTGTGTGTGTGTAAGTGTGTGTGTGTAAGTGTGTGTGTGTAAGTGTGTGTGTGTAAGTGTGTGTGTGTAAGTGTGTGTGTGTAAGTGTGTGTGTGTAAGTGTGTGTGTGTAAGTGTGTGTGTGTAAGTGTGTGTGTGTAAGTGTGTGTGTGTAAGTGTGTGTGTGTAAGTGTGTGTGTGTAAGTGTGTGTGTGTAGTGTGTAGTGTGTAAGTGTGTGTGTGTAAGTGTGTGTGTGTAAGTGTGTGTGTGTAAGTGTGTGTGTGTAAGTGTGTGTGTGTAAGTGTGTGTGTGTAAGTGTGTGTGTGTAAGTGTGTGTGTGTAAGTGTGTGTGTGTAAGTGTGTGTGTGTAAGTGTGTGTGTGTGTAAGTGTGTGTGTGTAAGTGTGTGTGTAAGTGTGTGTGTGTAAGTGTGTGTGTAAGTGTGTGTGTGTGTGTGTGTGTAAGTGTGTGTGTGTAAGTGTGTGTGTAAGTGTGTGTGTGTAAGTGTGTGTGTGTAAGTGTGTGTGTGTAAGTGTGTGTGTGTAAGTGTGTGTGTGTAAGTGTGTGTGTGTAAGTGTGTGTGTGTAAGTGTGTGTGTGTAAGTGTGTGTGTGTGTAAGTGTGTGTGTGTAAGTGTGTGTGTGTAAGTGTGTGTGTGTAAGTGTGTGTGTGTAAGTGTGTGTGTGTAAGTGTGTGTGTGTAAGTGTGTGTGTGTAAGTGTGTGTGTGTAAGTGTGTGTGTGTAAGTGTGTGTGTGTAAGTGTGTGTGTGTAAGTGTGTGTGTGTAAGTGTGTGTGTGTGTGTGTAAGTGTGTGTGTGTAAGTGTGTGTGTAAGTGTGTGTGTAAGTGTGTGTGTAAGTGTGTGTGTGTAAGTGTGTGTGTGTAAGTGTGTGTGTGTAAGTGTGTGTGTGTAAGTGTGTGTG